TGTTGCGCAAAAGCAACCAGGAATCTTGTAAGCATTACCCCAAGAGGCTCTCGAAGCACATGATACAGGGATCCCATGTATAGTAATATCTGTTACGCCCGCGACAGTTGCTTTATCAGACAGAATAATGTTGTCTCAGTCTTCAAGGAACAATCTATCAGTGATTATATTTCAAGATCACAATAAAGACCAGCTTAGTAATATCTCTAAAATGCATTTGCTGAAACGTTTGGCTTATTACGGTGAGTAAATGAATATTTTCTGAGTGAAAAACTTTCACTTCTTTGGCCACGTTTTAAACAAAACTGAATGGCAGGGTGATTTTTACCAATATGCCCTTGTCTCCCATGACAATGTCTGAATGGCTTAAGAGTTTTCGCAACATTGTTTTTCAGCGGGAAAATCGCCAAACAAAAAATTATGCACATATGAATTTTCCGTTTAAGCTCGGACGACACTAATGCATCCATTTTCTATAGGTTCACACGCGCTTTTCCATACCGAAACGATCAAGAATTATCATCTGCGCATGCGAAAAACAGACGCTCCGATGTAAATGTAGCGTCGACGTTTTCAAAGCCACATTTTCTCGTCTGTTACCGCATCGCCAACTATTCCGGCCATGCGCTGCTCGCCAAGTCAGCGGATATCATGTATAAAATAAAGACCACAGGAAGCCCAAGCTCTCTCAGGCCCGGACTTAGAGAAACAAAACCTTTTGATACGGTATTCCTGTGCTTTAATAGGTATCCTATTACAAACGATGGCAAACGAGAGCTGAGGAATCAAAAGTTTCCAAACGAAAATCGCCAATTATTTTTATGGGAAATACACTATGAACGTTACTACCTTTATAACATTGAATAACAAGTAGTTCAGCTCTGAGCCTGCGCATGTTACGGGAAACCAAGTTTAAGCGTTTGGACGATCTTGTTTTACAATAACAATAAATGAAAATCTACTTCTTCATTTAAAGGCAGCTTATTGTGTTATAATCCTAAGGAGCAGCTGATCTTGTTTTTTGTTTTTTGTTTTTTTACTAAGATTGTAGGAGAAAGTATAGTTGACCGCATAGCTAGTTACGAATCAATGAAGACATAAMAGTTTGTTTTACTTAATGATAAAATAAAAGTATTTTCAGTGGGATCTATATTTGCGTTTTATCAACGATGAATTGTAGTATATCGTGGTAAGGCTGGAGTATATAAAAACAGATTAGAAATTTTAAGCTTTTAAAGTAGAAGCGGGTTATAGGAAGCAACAGAAACAGCCCCAACTTGTGAAAGTGATTATGACTTGCGAAAGTGATTAACCGCTATTATTTCTCAATTGACGCGATTTTCTTTATTATTCACAAGGCTTTATTTTTGTCATAACCCTCATTATCAATGCGAGGTCAATATATAGTTAGTTATCAACCCGGTCAATAACTATATGTAGACCTCGCATTTATAATGAGCAACATTTGATAGAAAACCTTCTCAATTGATAAATAAAATACTTAATTACCTCGAACGTCGGCAAGAGAGGTCGGCAAGTCTACTGTATTAATGTTTTAAGCAAGCCTAATTATGCAATAATCATTAATAATAAGTCGATTATTTTTCGGCATTTTGTACTATATATATGTTTATTACCGCTTTGATGTTATTACCACGACCTATGGTCTTTGTAGAGCATCAAAAAGAACACGTTTCCGGGTGATTGCATGAACATATAACTCAGGTATGAGAATCAGTTGATGAAGGGATAGACTGAATTGAACTGACACTAATATATCAATTCTTACCAAAACAGGCTTCCAGATGAACTTTGATAGGTGCATATGGAGTTTTCAGTAACGTAATATGTCTATTTGTTTTCTGCTTTCAGTCGACTTTCGATTTCGTTTCTAAAAATATAGACACAAACTGCAATTCTGGTCTCAGATGTTAACGCGTCTTACTCACGCGTCAGCCATGTTTATTTCCATGAGAATATCAATACCCTCGAAATTCAACATGTCTGCGAGGTTTTTTGAAGTCATAACGTAACCAAGAAACCAACTCGAATGTTGAATGTTATTGTATTATCGTATCTTTCTTTCCAATTAAAACACCAACTAAACAAGAAAACTACTCACAGAAATATATCAAATGTCTTCCGAAAACTACTGAATAAAACAAAGGGAATTTTGTTCTTATTCCGTAATTTTCGGAAAGCAATCGGCACCCCGCGATGTTTTTTTCATGTTGTTCCATATCATCATTCATATATAACGAATAAACGACGTACCCGTTATAAGTCACACCATTTCTCCTATAAAACGATGTTCTGATCCGTTGTTGAAGGTATGAATTATCAAGAAGTTTGAGAAACTAGATCAGGCCTTGGCTTTAGGAGTTATATTCTCTTAGTCAGATAAATTGAGAATGATGAAGAAAAGAAACCTGATTTATCGTTTGATTAAATTACACAAATTTCGCGCGGGAAATGTACATAAGTATTTGGGATTTAAATAGTGTTTGTTTTTGAAGTGAAAACGATTTATTGATTAAAATAATAGCGAATTGAAATAATTGCGGGAGGGATTAAATAATAAAATATTAGCAATCAAAGAGACGCAATAAAATATATTATTTTCGAAATCGTACTATACTGCTGTGTTCCTTACACCTTGGTTTTGCCTCTTTGTTTTTAGCGTCAGATTATTCACAAATACCAATGTCAAAGTAAAGAATGCACAACTTCTCAACGATACAAGCAATATTAAAATTCAAGGATGTTCCCTTCAATATATGAATATTATACACAAAATCGTGGTTAACCCTGAGCAACAGAGAGCTCAAAAAAGGAGTATTATATTACGACTAATTATGTATTTATATGTTTGACAGATGTCTGCGGTATGAAAGTGAATTCGAACGCCGAAACTGAATATTTTTTTACTTACGTCTACATTTTKTTCAGAAATGAAACTTGGTATATATCAAAACCCTTATCGACTTGAGCCTCAAAATCAGTGAGTGGTAAACGACTTGATCAGTATTACTATAAATTACTATTACTACTATTCCTATATAATATCTTTGTGAAAGAGAGGTGACCTTATATTAGTTTATCATATGACCCGTACGGCCCTGCTCGCGCGCTCCAATAAAACCATTGGAAAAAGTCACGTGATGGTCATATTTGAATTGAGTTGTTTGATGTGTTTTTGTCCCTTATGCTACGAGGGTTTTCTCCGGGTTCTCCGTTTTCCTCCCCACATAAAAATCAACATGTAAGCTGAGCGTTGTGTGCATAGAATATTGAATGTAGTGGTAGTGCGTGCAAGCAAAAAGTGTGCCCAATTAGTGCGAAAGCGCTAGAACGACTAGACACTAAGTGTGAAAAAGTTATTTTTTCCCCTCTGTTTCCCGGGAAGATATTTATGAACTGTTTAATCATCTAAACTTACCATTTCCGAATTCATTATACTATACCTCACTAGTTACTGTTGCTATCGGACAAGCTAAAATGTGTTTTTGATACAGAGCAGAAGCATTGAACAGAAACGTACCAATAGACAATTTCCGAGATGCGCGAGCGCTTTCATAAATGTCGTGGGCGCAGACATTAAAACGAGTCATTTTGGGCAGTGTGATGAGAAACTATTGAAAACCACTATAGAGTTGTAGGCGATTTCTAAAAGCCTTGAAGAATATATTTTGTCTAAAGTGAGCTTTATTATTATTTTTAATTATTATCTTACTCCCAATTAAAAGAAGCTTTAAATTAATTCTTCCTTAACATAATTTTCAATTTTTAGTATGTGTTTCCCATAGCGCGCAGTAATAGTCTTCCCTTAAAATGCCTGTCGTTTTCAAATTTGACTACGCGATTCTTTTTACATCCGAAATTGTAAATGTCTGTAGAAGAAATGCATTTCAAAGGTACTTTAAGAGAAAAAACGAACTGAAATAAATGCGAAGGGGGGGGATTAAATAATGAAATATTAACAATCAGAGAGACAGGCCTCGCGCGGTTTGCTTTCTTGACTCTAAAACTTTAAACGGGGTTCGCTCGGTTTAAGGAAAGTGTGTCTTCGATAGAAACTGGTGACTAACAGCGGTTTTTCCAAGCCAACGAGGAACCTGGCTATTCAATACGGCGGACGTAGAATGATAACAACGATTGTAAATTTATATGTTAAGCGTATGTTACATCGAGTGTGTAAGCAGGTTAAAAAACCTGCCTCAGTTGGGCCTCGCCGGACTCGACCCCAACTGAGGCAGATTTTTTAATCTGCTTTTACACTCGATGTAGCATACACTTAACATATAGATCTCTACCGAGTGACAAAAACACATTTCATAGATTGTAAATTTGACGCAATTTTCGTGCAATTCTGGACTTCTCATCGCAAAACCAGCCTCCACGTCGACTGAACAAATACTTCAAAAATCGCATATCACATTTAAAGCCGAAAGAAACAAATGCAGGATTCATTTAAGGCAGTGAATGTACACCAATTTCCGGTAATACATTTTTCAGAAGGGCATTTACGAAGACACACTATGGAGTTTCTTAAAGGCATTGTCGTACTKTCCATACAAAAGGACGCCATTTTGACATAGTATTCACTCAAAGAAAATCCCTGGATCGACCGAGAGCTAAGAGGCAAGATTAAAGCACACTAAACTATCGCTGTATTACTCTTATTTTCCGGTGCTACATTTTTTCTTGACGCTTTCCCGTTATTGCGATCGAGAGTGGAAAGTACGGATTCTTCCTTATCCTTTGTAATTCCTCGAGGTCAATTAGCATGAAATGTGACAGGCGTTCCGTGATATAGTATGCAAATAAGCAAAATCACCGGATGACACGGAATTGTACGCGATGATTACACTTCGGTTTTGCCTAATAGTTTTTAGCGTCAGAATTATATTCACAAATATCAATGTTAAAGTACATATCAAACAATGAGTGTCATAGCTCTCTTTCCCGGTATTAAAAAAAGGGACTGGGGAGAAGCTTGTTTTTTTCGTATTTTTTGTAGTCTTTTCTTGTTTTTCGTCTTCGACAAGCTGGTAAATGTCTCTCAGCCGTTTCGCCAGCCGACGAACACGCTTGTCCGCCATCTTTGACTTAAGGGTAAAGACCCGCAATCCAAGTAAGGAATTATATGGTTCCATATATGGAGTAACTTTCTCTATTCCAACTTTGACACTAATGTATGGAGCTTTATTACATCCATTTTGAAATCACAAGCAAATCCTGCAATCTGATTGGTTCCCTGCAGCAGTGATTTCAGCATAAATTGCACGAYTTTGAGCTCTAAGTTGCACGATTTTGCACATCAACTGATATGAACCAATCACAAGAGAGACATGTCATTTTCTAGCCAATTATATCAAGGAATAAATCTGAGTGTTGAGCTCACCGCTTCTTGCGAAAAAAAAAGAGCCACGGCTCAAAAAAAAATCTTCTGAAGAACGATTTTACCGTCAAAAGCCTTAAAAAAGACTTAAAAAGCCGTAAAAAGGACTTAAAAAGACCAACTGATCACTTAAAATCGTCAAAAGCATCTTTGTAAAGTAACTGCTTAAGTAAGTTGAAGATATAACAGCGAAAAGCAGTGGGAGAAAATGCAATCGGCATCTTTTGAATGTGACTTCTTGGCGATTGATCGTGGAAAGTGGTTTCCTTTTCAATCT